CACGCATGTACGCGCGAACGCAAGAGGATGGTTTTGTGTTGCACCCTGGGCGCACCATCAACGGTCACTTTGGAATTCAGGAAACGCACGGGTTCGTTAGCTAAGTAGCAGTATTTATTATATAGCTGCGAGGGAAGGAAGAATTAACAGCAAAGTGGCAAGTCTCGAGGAACTGTCACTCCCAGCGAGCGTCATTTGTAGTTCAACCACTTCCTTGTTCTTCTGATTATTTGCTGCACAACAGCTTCAGCTGCTTTATTCGACAACTATTCTATGCAAATTATATCTAGTTGCTTGATTCTATTCACCATTAACCATCGATCTTATTGTTTCTATGGATCAGTGAATAAATATTCAATTCTAATCAAGATTCCTTCATTAGACGATGTTGTTATATATTTCTTCTTCTTCTTCTTCTTCTTCTTCTTCTTCTTCTTCTACAGATCCAAAGAATATATTAAAAATAGAAAGTCTAAAACTGTGTGGCGACAGTTTAATACCTTTCATTCTTAGCATTAATCTATTGGACTGACCATATGATAAACGTATGTATGCCGTATCGGTGTAACGAGTGTCGCCACAAAGAGCGAGCCTTTCACTTTTGCCATTATTTTCTTCTTCGCTCTATGATCCAATTACATTAACACTATTAAAGGCTCGTGCTCCAATTACAGTGTCCTTATTACAAAGACCCATGTCTCAATTAGTAAGTTATGTCCGACTTATGATGTCCTAGTTACGAATAATTTTCTAAATACGACGACCTTGCACAAGTCGCACATTTCGTATGTGAATATACATCCACGAACGCATAAAAATGTCGGTTACCTTAAAGAATTTTAAGTTTTTTTTTTTTTTTTTTTTTTTTAATAAATCATTATGAACGTTAAAACTTTATTCAGTTGTGTAAAAATTTATGAAACCGTTTTTCATGCGAATTATGTACAAGCTAATTGTATTAAAAAGTAGGAATAAGTGAATAATTCGTGAATGAACGAATCATCGTATTATTGCAATTTTATATGAAATAAATCGGTGATTATAATATTCACAGATTATTTTCAGAGAGTTGATAATTGTGAATATTGGTGGATTATGGTATATTGAAGTAAGAAAATTTATAATTTAAAAATTGCATGTTAGAAAAAATTTATGTAACGAAAGAATAGAAAATTTAGAAACCTGATTGTTAGAAATGTAAGTTGAAAATTTTTACTCGAAATAAATTTTAAATCTATTAAGTAAAAAAAGAAGTTCGTTTGTGTTTTATTTGCTAGTATAATATTTATAGTCAATCTGGTTGATGTAAATAAACATGAAATTTTAAAAACAAAACTAATAATTAAGCTAATAGAATACATAATACAGAACATTTGGAGCCCTTTGCCGATGGACATATTTTGCATAATAATAATAAAAAATGACTCGAATGATTCCGTTGATAATGTCACTTTCAATTCAATTTTTTATGTAATTGTAATTAAATATGAATAAAAATTACAAGTTATGTAAAATTATATGGTAACTGTCTGAGATCGGAATAAAAACACGTCCCGGTGATGTTAGTTGGGTGAATGCGTAAGGGGGAAGGAGGTAAGGGGGAAGGGGGGGGGAGCAGGGTGATGATCGCTGTCAAGTGGCGGAGGCAGCAGACGCATTAATTCAATTCAACACAGAGCGATCTTGGGTTTTCTATTTATTTTCGGACTACAATGATATATGATTATAATGAGCTGATGCTGGAATCTGTGAAACTCCTTCGGTAATTTTCACGCAGTGATGGCGATCCACGTGTTGATGACGATGTAAAATCTGCTCCTTGAAACCGTTGCGTATTGTTTCGACTGCGGCCGTTCCTTCGCGAAATGATGATAATCCTTACTAGACACGTGCTAAGTTGTCGCTCGTGCGCCTTTAATATCTATTTTCCCTTTTTCTGAACTTCACGGTAAATGTATTTGTCCTTACCTAATTTCATGATAAAGTGTTGGTGTTGCGCTTCAATTGATATTCACCTTTGAATTACACTTAGCACTCGTCTCTGCTCGTATATAGCGCACTCAAATGATTATGAATTGTTATGTGACGGATTTAATAACCGATGACTGATTGATTGATAAAAATACAATGAGCCCAGGAGCGTGACGAGCTGCTCTTAAATATTTGCATGGCAGCTTGCAACGCTGGCAACAGTGCTTGGGCTTGTTGCTAGGCCGAAAATGTTGATGACGTCATATAAACTGAGCTAGAGAATAATCGAGAAGTCTAGAAGGACGGACAGTGGCTTGGATGGTTCGAGAATTGTCAGAATCATAGTTACTATGCGGAAATATTGTAGAACGCTGAACAATAAAGGCTTAAACTATTTAAGAATTCGCAGAATCAATGTTTACAAACATAAGCGACCGAGATTTCAACCGAATTCTTCGACGTTGCTCTAATCCCGAACGCTAACCTTGAATTTAACATTTATGCGATAAGACAAAGTGTGATTAAACTCTATTTAATCAATTAATAATGATTGGATATTCATCACAAGATAATTTTCACAAAAATAGTATAGTAGATGCGAATGATAATGAGATAAATAAAGTTTATTCGACAACTTTTATAACAAAACTGCTAATGACGTTCACGTACGCTAGACACCCGAGTTCTAGTTCAACTCATTTTCATTTTTCTTTTTCGCTTTTTTTCTTTTTTCTTTTTCATTTTTCTTTTGTTTTTCCTTTTTTTTCTTTTTTTCTTTTTTGTTTTTTTTTTTTGTTTTTTTTTTGTTTTTTGTTTTTTTTTTTGTTTTTTTTTGCATATAAACGCGCGAAACACAAACAATTCAAACATTGAAAATTTTCATATGGAATAGAGAAACACACGCAAGTTTAAATTGTAAGTTCTCCATTTACATCGCGTCTTAACTTCCCCGGTAAAAGCTCGAACAACTTTCACTTACGTATTCCTCTCGATATAAGCACTTGTAAATGCATCCTATTAAAAATCAGTATATATTTGCGAATTGTGTAAATTAATATTTACAATTCTTGTCATAATTATTATGACTACATAGGCGCGAATAAGCTAATTATGAATCATCAATTATTAATCTAATTTCAATTTACAAAAAATATTACACATACGTGCGTGCCATAAATAAAAATTTCTATATCGTATGATAGGCAATAACTTTAGACGCGTATTGTCTCTTAATAGCTTCTAATTTAGTTAATTAATTAACATAATTATCCATAGCCGTGTCTAGCATGTTACGATTAAGTAAACGAGAAAGCTTTTTATACAAATCCCCCCCTTTGACTCGTATCTCTTGACACTTCTGTCTATCATCCTGTCCATTACTTCGACTCGTTACGCCAAGTTCAGTCGCGTTACGGCGATGCCACTTCGTCTCGCAGTCTCTTACTCGCTTCCTATGTCCTATATTCCCTCGGTTCAACAGCTTACACTCCACAAATATAGCAGGTTTCAACTTTCGAATGAGACAGAACACATGCCAGTGTAAACACGACTGAAAATATGTAAATTATTAAGGAATGCACGCACATGTGAACATTCAAATGTACAACTTCTTTTTTGCTGAATTTCTATCTATTTCGATCAAATATAAAGGATTCTATTACAATTTTTACCATACTTTTACACACGTATTTTTGGTAATTGCGAGTCTGTGCACAGATTCGTGTGTACATTAATATATATATATATATATATATATATATATATATATAATTTACACATTTATTAACTTGCGCATATATAAATATATATCAAATGAAAATTGATACACAAAAATTGTAGCAGGATTACCTATAGTCTTTTCAATGTCATCCGACACATACAAATGAAGAAATATAAGGAAGCGCATGCAAACTCGATAATATAAAAATAGTGAAGATATAGAGTAGAAGAGAGATACAATGAGATATAAAAAGCGAACGAGAGAGAGAGAGAGAGAGAGAGAGAGAGTGAGAGTGAGAGAGAGAGAGAATTGGCCGGGTCTGCATGAATAACCCATGAGAATGGAAATTAAAGACGATAAATGTGCTCCGAATGAGACAGCCACGTGGAAAGGGACTCTGTTTTATGGGATTTTAATTCAAGACTGGCGAAAGCGAAGAATGCGCGTGCAAGTCTTTTTAAAAAGCTTGAGAATACGCTATGAAAAGAGGAATGGGAAAAAGAACGGAAGAGAAATGGAAAAAAAGAGATTAGCGGTTAGGAAGGAGAGAGAGAAATAAAAGCGCATACTCTAATATGAAAATTTTGTAAAAACAATCCATTATTTTTCCATCTACAATTAATCGAATCTCAATATACCATTCATATGTGCTTTTGAGTAAACCTGACGTTTTCCTCGATATAATTGTAAGCTGATAAAGCTTTTAAAGCTACATTTCTGATAATTAAAATAATCAACTAAATTATTTATTTATTTATTTATTTATACGAATATTCATTAAAATAATATGCCGTTATTTTCATCTTTAAACGATGATTTTATTTAATAATTCCTCGTTTTGTTGAATTCATTATTACATGTGGCAAAAACTCGTTATTTACTGTAAAAATATTATCGATGCTTTAGTTAAGAAGTAAAAAAAAAACAACAACAACAACAACAACAAAAAATCATTTTTACAAATGCAAGCGTATCTAAGTTATAAGAATACTACGATATTTTAAATCGAAAATATCGTCGATACAAACAGACTTACTTTCAAAGGAAAAATCATCAAGATAAAAGCTTCGCTTCCAACAGGAATTTTACAAAAAAAAAAAATATATATATATATATATATATATATATAACCATTAAAATAATATTGAAAACTATTTCTTTAACAAAAATATCATACTTTTAATTTAAGACAAATTGAAGATACACGGAAAAACGATTATTCTTTACATTAAAAATATGTTGCAGTAAATACATAAATGAATCTATTGAGTACAAAAATTTTATTAAAAACTTGTTTTAATTTAATTTTTTACATATTTTGGTTTATAACAATTTTTCTAAATTAAATATATCCCAAATTAAAGTTTTTTCATTGTATTTGTATTTTGATTTCAATGACATAAAGCGTGCAAAATTATAGAATATCTAATTAATAATATATTTTTCAAATTCAAGTTTGATGTAAAGCTTTAATAATAATAATAATAATAATAATAATAATAATAATTATAATAATAATAATAAATATATATATATATATATATATATTACATTGTAATTTTCTTTCTATTTCCCTAGAAAATGGTTTTTTGTAATAACTTTAAAGTGAATATTAATGTTTAAAAAGGAATAGTACTTTTTTTTTTAATGCTGTTGAGTAATTATATATGTTAAATCATAATCTCGTGAAAAAGTAAAACAATACATACAATTATGCTTAAAGCGCTCGATTATCTTTTCAAAAATTTGTTTTGTAGCTTATTGTAGCTTTAATTAAAATGTGTCTTTGTTAATAACAAATGATTTAATTATTATAATAATATAATAATCATAATGAATAATTGCCTTTTATAATTTATATGTAGCGAAAATAAAATATGAATACTACGTAGTATCGACAAGAATATATAATATAAAATATATATTTTTTACAAAGCATATTCGCAACTTTTTTTAAAAAAAAAACAGTTACTTATACTAACAAAATATTGTTAAATAAGTTTACTTCACTTTATAATTTCAATTTAAATTCAAACATTAATTCGTCTTGTTTCAAATTACAGAAAATTCTCTACGAGATTTTAACGATATTTCTATGAAATTTCTTGTACTACTTAGGAATACAATGATTCATAAACTTTGATAGAAATAATTATGATTCTTTGAGGGGCCTCGATTGAATTTAAAAACTAAATCTTAATTAGAATAGTCTTAAAAATTAATCTCGCGTTACGATTGTAAAATACTTCCCTCGCTCGAACTTTAGCCACTTGTTAAATTTCTTCTTCGACTCCGTAGATCCGAAATTCTCCGACTACGTGTGATCTGGCAAAAATTAACTATTACGTTTAAGAATCTCGCCCCCCCCCCTTTAGCCGACGATCATCTGGCCGACGATATTATTATTCACGAATGTGCAATAATGTAATAGTATGGTTGGAGAGTAAGTGAGCCCGGCAATGGTAGTGACGTAGAAAGAGGAGCCGATATGCACGTGGTACAGAATAAGCGCGTACAGGTCTCTCAGACCGTCGTGCATTTATTATGTGCTTTTGCATTCATAAACTGAATGCATTATAATATTTTCGTAAAGTTTTGTGCAGAGGAAATTCGTATGTCGTTAAGTATTCAGGATGAGTGAAGGAACGAGCGACGAAATGAGAGAGAGGCGTAATTTCAACTGTTTGCCAGACGATGTTCTTTCAAGCGATCATAGGCGTTGAAAACCGTTTGAACTAACGACGAAACCGCAATTAATCATTTATTTTGATATGTCAAAAGCTTATATTTCATCCGATGCTTGCGAACTAAATAAAAGATTGATTTTTTTTATCGATTCGGCTTATTCATTAGAACGTTGCTATTATTATAATAATGATATTGCTGTTATACTATATATTTTTTTATCCATGTATGTAGAATAATTTAAATTAAGTAATATAATATAAAATTGTAAAATAATGTAAAAGTAATTATTAATTATCCGATCATTAATTAAAATTACGCCGTTCAAATATTAGTTCACCCTTTTTCTCGTTGCTTCTTATCAATAGGAGTATGTTAATTAACGATTCAAATGGAAATTTAACGTAATAAATAATCATTAAGAAAAAAGTAAAGATTTCTTGTATGTCGAAAGACAAACTAGCGATAAAAATATTTTTCCAATTATCATTCAAGAATGATAACAATTTCATAACTAGCGTATAAAAAAATTACATGAATATTAAATTACTTTGCGAACACACGTTCGTTGTCCCATTACATGGCGGCTAAGAAAAAAAAAAAAAAAAAAAAAAAAAAAAAAAAAAAAAAAAAAAAAAAAAAAAAAAAAAAGTTACATCGTCCACGTGAAAAAAGTGTAATGGTTTTAGAAAAAATAGCACACCCAGAGACACGCTTGGAACGAAAATTATAGTTATATCAACGATTAAAGACAGATGTGTGTAAAGTTTAGCTCTAAGACAATGCTCGAGAACCAAGGAGCTATTAAATAAATAAAAAAAAAATAAAAAATAAAAAAAAATATATATATATATATATATATAAAAAAGGTAAAATGTATGTACTCACCTGTAGTATACATGGCCACACCCTTGAGCGTCACGGGCTCGAGGACGACAGGATCGCTACGACCCTTGGCATTAACAGCGTAGAGAAGAAGTCGGTAATTCCTTCCGGGCTCCAGGCCTGGTACCTCAAAGATCGGCCCGAAAGCACCGGCCTTATCTGTGTGATTAATGTAAATTGTGTTGACGTGATAAACGCTCTCGTCGCTGTAGACTTCGAGCTCAAAGCTTGTGATAGGCAAGCCACCGTCAAAGCCTTCGTTACAGCGTACTATCAACCAATCGGCGTCTTTGGCATCAGTTGCTTTAAAATCTTCATGACCTATGAAACATGAAAGTATGGCGTGGCACGACCTTTCTTGCCTTTTATTTCGCGATTTTTCGCAGCCTTAGATCCCTCTTTCCCCGCTCGTCGCCAAACTTATTTATCATTTATCATGTTAAACCTATCCTTCGCTACCTATCTTCCCTAAAAACATAATCGCCGGATAATTTTTGTTTAAAGCGGTAGACGTGAGAGAAGGAACGTGACATTCCAAGAACCTTACGTTATAAAAAATATAATTACATATGGGAAATTGATTTTGAAAACAGTCGGATGGCTCAATGAAAAAGAAAAAAACTCTTTAGTATTTCTATTAGCGGTAAAACTAAAAGTCGAGCATGAGAATACAACTCGAGGATAACTGATAAAAAAAGTATTGCAACTTCAACGTAATGTTAGGAGGCAGAGGAAGATAATAGTTTTTAGCATATTTAATTCACAATTATTAACGACATGTAAAAGGTAGGTGGAAATGAATTGAAATAAAAAAATAGAAATTGAAACATATTGTAAGAAATGTAGTATGAAATTTTTAAGTAAAGTACTGTTTAATAAGATGATAATAAAATGAGAAATAATAAAAAAATTACACCAACTACTGTAATAATAAGATATTTTGTTATAATCCGTAAATGAATCGAGACTCCTAAAACAAACGTTCTTTAAGTAAACTCGGCAGTGCGCTTGTTGGTATGAGTGTGCGTGAAAATAAGATTGAAAATTATAAAGAAAAAACAATGTGATTGGAATTACTTATGTGAAAAAGTGCTCGTAATTGGTATTCGAAATTGAGACATTAATTTAAACATGGAAATTTAAATTGGAAACTGAGATTTTCATATAAGTCGAAAGTTCAGGTATGACGAGTACATTGTTATTGCTGCACAGGCGATCTCGCGACGCGATAACTTTTTAAGCCAAACTATATTATTTCAAGTCTGGCTGTGGGCCAGCAATGATGGATATGGACAGCGAAAAACACAGATTTTCTATAAATCGAATAAATATTTGCTCTTGCCAGCCACCTATTTGTTTAAAAGGGAAAGAAATACAACAACAACAACAACAACAACAACAACAAAAACAAAAATTGTGAATATTACAAATAAAAAGTAAAGCAATGATTTTACTAGACGATATAAAGTTCAAAGTATAAGTCCACAGTGCGCTCATCTTAACTATACAATATTGAAATTTTAATTCTTGAAAGGCAAAAACATAATGAATATGCAGCTGATAGGAACGCTAATTCGGGACTTTTTGCGCCCCGTATTGGCTAAAACCATTAACTACATTATAACCACGGTTAAGTCAACGAGACCACTATTATTGAAATGTAATTAAAGTTGTATGTGAAAAAGAAAAAAAATAAAAAGAAAAAAAGAAAGAAAGAAAGAAAGAAAAGAAAAGAAAAGAAAAGAAAAGAAAAGAGTAAACAGTATTTACGTTTATTCTCATATAAACTATAAAGTAGATCGATTATTTTATTTTTATAAATTTTAAGCCATACAAATTGACATGAAATACAACGGGCATGAAATTCAGCGTCTCTGGAGATTCCGAAAAAAGTAAATTAACTACTCTTCGATATAACGTATAAAGAAGTAAATTTTATCCGTTTTACCGTGTGAAATACCGTGATAAATTAAGCTCTAGAGTAAAAAAGTTGGCGTTTTTCTTCGCAAGCACAAATAAATTTCTACGATTCTATTTAAACACTGTACAATATTTTTTTACCAAAAGATCTACAATTTAACATGTAATTCGCAGTAAAAAGCAACAACTCAATTGGCTAAATACGACCAGGTATTTATTGCAGATTAATTGTAAATTAAGAGCGCTTCAACGATCCCCAAGCTTCCATCCAATTATTCCATCCCTTAAACTACGAGGGAATCTTCCTCGTAGCCCTGGAAACCTAAAGTAGCAAAAAGTTGTCGAATTAACTGCTAATGCCACTCGTTTGCTTACCCATTCTGTAGGCGTAGGGCCCGGTGGACTGAAGGGCCGAACAGTTCTGCAGCGGATAGGGCTTTCCCGCGACGATGATTTGAAAGAGGCAGGGCACCTTTTGCGCGCCGATCTGATTAGTCGCCAGACAGGCCATCGTCCCGTAGTCCATGTCACCCGCGGGCGTATAGTTCAACCTGGAGCCATGCCAATGATTCGTAATGAGATGCTGGGGCTTCACCTGGGCGTATCTGCTCGCCGGGACGTTCATCAGCTCGCCGGAGTTATTGAAGGTCCATTGGAAGGTGAGGGGTGGTGGTTTCGACTGCACGCCGCACACCAACGATATCGTCTCGTGTTTGAGGGCCCCGACGACTTGCGCCGTAGTGCCGTCCTTGCAAACCGGGGCATCTGAATTAAGATCCAACCCAAGGGCACAGAGCGGTTAACCCTCGTTTTTCATTTTCCTTGATACTCAAGTTTTCGTCCGTTTGACCCGCGAATCAAGTCTCGAGCCCCTCTCTCCTTTCTCTCAGAAATTTCATTCGTTGCTGTTTTTTTTTTTTTTGTTTTTGTATTTTTTGTTTTTCATTATATATATATATATATATATATATATATTTTTTTTATTTTTATTTTTTTTTTTTTTGAACCCAGTCAGCGAGATAAGGCGCGATCTCACGACTTAGACACAATGCGACAGAGGCTCCGCATTTCTTTTACGTCCACGAGCTTTCTTTCTTTGCAATCTGCGATCGCGATGAAAGATAGGCTAATGTATTATCTTTATCGAATAAAAATAAAATGCATCGTAATGTTCTGATGTGCGCACGTGTTCCTGTTAGTGTGCGCGCGCATTCTAATGACTTTCTATAAAGATTAGAGTCTGAGTAGCAAACGTATAAATGCCTTTAGCACCATATAAAAATTATTTAATAGTCAATAGTCGTGTTTGGTCGTTTATCAAAGTAAATCGAACACGATATGGGTAGTTAACGCAATAGCGAATATTAAGTGAAGTAATCGGAATATCGCCAGGCCAAACAAGTTTAGTGAGACATGTACTACCCGTTCAATTTTGTAAAAATAAATAATTAACTCGATATTTGCCAACGCTCACATTATATGATAAATATTTGAAGAATTATTCATCCTCTCATCGTTTTATCCCAATGCTGTTATAATTTTCTGATAAAAACCGTATAAATACATATATATGACTATGGGAAATTTTTTTCATTCTTGTCAATACTGACATTAATAAAGGATAGTGTACAATTATATAATGTATTGTCAAATATATACAACTACACTCTCTCTACTCGATTACTCGAGCTTTGTGTATACAACATCGGACACCTCTTTATTATTTAAGAATTACTTTTTATTCAACGTGATAAAATTTCACAATGTCATATTTTTCAGGATATTAAATTCTTTCATTAGATAAATTACAATTTAATATTAGAACATATTAGATTTAATGATATTTGTGCAAGATAGTTTAATGAAATTTGTACACCGGCTATATTATAAAATTATAAAAACATGTATAGTTTATATAAAATCAAAATTTCTGACGGACAACGCGATATTAATAATAACGAAGTGAGTTCAACAATAATATAATATAAATTATTGTTACGAAACTGAATATTCCCCCAATAATTGCGCTCCTTTCATTTAAATCAACTAATACAATGGATTAATGAACTTTTCATAAAAACGATTATTGGCCAAGTAATGTGAAAATAATAAAATTATATATAACCATTGAATTTGTAAAATAAAGCGACATTTATATAGAATAGCGTTGTTAATTGATATTAAAGTATCAATCATGAAGGTGAAAGCAGCGCGCTCGTGAACACGTACAATGAATGCCGTATGAAAGAAAGGCTTTGGAACTCGTAGCGAAGGCCTTAATTGGATAGAAGGCAATGCGGGTGGTAATGGGGGTGGGAGGGGCTCTTAATTGCTATAAAACATTACTCACACATAATGTCAAGTGTGACCGGTCGGCTAGTCGTTTTCCCCTCGTAGTTGGCTGCCATGCAGGAGTACTCGCCAGCTGAACTTCGAGTTACGCTCTGGAGAACGAGAGAATGACCGCCAGGTAGAATGACGTTCGCCGAAGCATTGTGGTGGAGCTCTTTACCATCCTTAAACCAAGCAAGCTTGTATGCCTTGGGATTCGCTTTGACCTCGCACTCAAAGTACACGTCGTCGCCTTCGTTGATGTCCGTTGCGCGCAAACTCGAACCCAGCTTGATTGTCACTACCGGAACATCTGAAAATTCCAAAGCACCGGACCGGCACGTTATAAGTAGTGTTTAACTTGGTCATCCTCTTGACAAATGTGCGTTCATTTATTGTATCTCTTGTTGCCTCTTTGCTTCGTCGTTTCAAGACGTAATTGCGTGGAAGTTCTTTTCTATAATTATGGTTTACTCTTCGTCATCGTCATTTCAATGAAATGCAAATATTCTAATTTTCACTGACTAACTTGTAAGCACTTACATTCGTATATAAATTACGATTAACGCTATTACATAAAATACTGATGCACACAAGTATTACACATTTTAGGCGCGCTAATTGGTTGATTAGGAATAACTTTGCGTATAAAAGTCTAATGACGTAGAAAATATCAAATAAAATAAAACGATTCATTCGTACAAAAGCTTGAGTATATGGCTGGATAAAATATACTGAATTTCGCTAAATTCGTAACCTACACTAATTCATATAAGTTATAATTAATGAATTTGAGCTTTTTTTATGTTTTTTTTTTTTAATCTGTTGCTCTATATGTTTACTTATTATTTGAATAAGTTGTGAAACGATTACAAGTACAAATACCATCATAATATTTCAAATCCTGAATATTTTGAAATATATTGTATAACTTTGTATAATTATAAGAAAATTGCTCAACTCTAATAAACCTATTCGATTTATATTAAATATAATGTTATATATATATTTAGATGAATAAACTATACGTGTCGAGTAATGAAAACCGTCTGTTTTTGGGACTTATAAGAGATCTTATGGGTATTAACATAGATTCATATACGTCTCCAATAGGTTATAACATTTTCATTATTTTTGACGATACGTCTAATTCTTAAATATATTAATAAATATTTTGTAATTAAAACTTACGAACCTTTCACTTTATGCAATGATTGTCAATTAAAAAATGTATATTAATATTAAAAAAATTTATATTAATATAAATCAGATAACATCGAAACTAATTAATTTTTTAATATATTAGAAATTGTTAGAAAGTGTTTTAAAAATCTTGGATTATGCGATACCTGTATGTAATAAATTAGTGATACCATTACAATTCTTGACATGTTCTTTATTGACTGTAAATAAAAAATTCTATTCAACAAAATGTACAGTCTATCTCGTAATTTGACTAAATGTACATTCTGTTTATGAACAATTACCGTAACTTTATAACACCGTAAAGTAAATAATAGTATAATAAATGTATTAAAAAGTACGCCATGCATGTTTTTTTTTTTTTTTTTTTTTTTTTTTTTTTTTTTTTTCAAACAAATCACTAGAAAAATTATTAGTAATTTTCATTTATTTTCGTAATTAATTGCACATTAAGTTAAAAGTCCATTAGCTTATTGCTTTTTTTCAAATTTAGCATTAATCCATACATGTATAGATACTTGAAATGTAGATGTAAATATAAATATGAAACTCTGTATACAATATTATTATGGCTATTACTTAATAAATATTGATTACACAGTTAAGTAAAATGGCAAATGAGCAGTATCGATTCATGTATATATAAATATATATACAGAGACAGATAGATAGATAATGAGGTAAATTATTAAATAATTAATAAATAATATTAAATAATTTAATAAAGTAGATAGATGACACAGAGATATAAAATAGATAAATATGTTGTGAAATGTCATTGCCACGTAAATAGGAATAAATCCTAAGCTAACTTTGTCAATTAGAATTTTACACCAACATACTGCACACTATTATAGGACTTTTTTCTTTTTTTTTCTTAAGAGACGAAACTTTCTTGGCTAAAAGTTTATAGCACCCGCGCGTCCCGTTACAACATCGAGTGCTCGGGAATGCACTACCTTTTCCTTACAGTTTTGTGCTTACCTAGAACAAGTTCCCTTACACACACACACACACACACACACACACACACCCTGGTGAACCTTGTGCCGGCAACTGTGATCGCAGCTCCAAATTACGCCCTCCTACTACGTGCTCATCCGCATTTATGGGAAAGAAGTTATCGACACGAAGACTTTATGACGCAATTGTTTTATGAAATTGCAACTTCACGGAAAATTGGAATTGGCTGGCTATCACTAAACTAAGTCTTGACGAAAAATAGTCTAGTCGATCGCAACAAGTGCTCCTGCAATTACAGTACACTATAGCAAGTAATCGCGATCACAGGTCATAGATTCTAAGATCAGTGGCTTGCCTCATCAATAGTACACACGATTAGTTGTCTATCTTTTTTTTTTTGCGCTCGTAAACTTTCTGTCGCTCGTGCAACTCCATCTTCGGCCTTCGTCCTATTCCCACTAGATTCTCCCCGCGTGCACACACAAACCCACAAACACACGTACGCACGCACACACGCACGCGCGCGCGCACACACACGCACACACACACATTCTCTAATATTTACTCTTTAGCTCGGTTTCGCGTCCAGACACTGTCTAATATCTCTCACCTTCGCTTTCTCGGTATTCTCGTTTCTTAAGGCACACCTATCACAGAGAAACAGCAATCTTTTTTTGTATGTCGAGAGCATCCTTCGTATTCACGATCACGTGTCTCGAAAGCCGAACTGAACTTCTTTTAAAAACTATCTTTAATTCTTGCATAGTGTGTCGGTTTTTCGCCTTCATCGGTCGAGGTGGACGTTTTTCAAGGGGCGTGTGCGACTTTTGCCGACACCACGACAACGAGACAACCGGATTTCATTACAATGTATACGTACTTTATATAATGAGTTTATGCATAGCATACAACATCACAATAGAAATACTTGCATAAAATTTCATGTAAATGGCACTATAATAATGTGTGCTAATGTACCAGAATAGCTAACATTTGTATTCAAAATTACAAAATTAGCGCGAGTAGACTTATATAGTAATTTTTACAATTTTAATCTCCGTACTCTGTATTCGTGTTAAAAAAATTTCTAAAACTATAAATTCTCAAATTTTTAATAATTTTAAAACACTACATTGACTCGTGTATGTGTAAGTAAACATAGAGAAAAATTATTTTATGATTAGGCATTTAACAATATTTTGTATTAAATTTTTACAAATTACTCCATTACAATTTTAATTTATAACACAATTACTAGATTTTTTAAGCTAACGTGATATTAATGGTTTTTTTTTCGGTATAACCAGACATACGTTATCCTTTAATATATCATATTTGTCGTAATCTGAATTGTCATATAAATTGAATTTTATTAATAACATTATTATAAAAAAATAATATATATATATATATATATATATATACATATATAGAAAGTATACAGGGTCATATAGCGCTCATACAAAACTCTAATCTCTACTGTAATAAAATTATAAGATCTTACAAAACAATTTAAATTTGCAATAAAGGATAGTAAAATTTATTGTAAATATCTAACTCCTATGTAATGTCACATTGAAATAATATCTTAATTTTTAAAAGTTACATTACAAAATAAGGTAATAAGTACAATGGATAAAAACAAAGTAAAATTATGCAAAGTTTCGTAGAAATGCCTCTTACAGCACTTTTGATAAATTCGCATAGGTGCATTTCACTTCAAAAGTACTTGTTAAAAATATTTATTCATTAATTTGCTTATTTCTTCCTGCAATTCCCTGCTTCGGCTACTTTATTTTTAACATAATAGAAAAACCGGTAACCACCACTTATGCAACAAAATATCATAAAGCAATGTTATCGGTTTACCACTCACAATGTATAATTAGGTGCCATCTATCTTCAAGCGCACTGTCTGAAACGACTGGGTTTTCTGCCCTGCAGGTTAGAAATTTGCCGTCATCCTCAATTGTTGGCACATAGCTCATTACACTCCTTGTCATGTTTGAACCTTCTGCAAACTACGAAAATTTCAGTATATCGACTAAAATGTTTATATTGGAATTAAGACTACGTACACACTCAAATCTTACATGTTGCGACATCTCTTAGCGGTATATTTCTTTAAAAAAAAAAAATAAAAAACCTTTTCGTCATATTAATAAAAAATTAGTAAACTTTAAGTTTTAAAGTCGAACGAATAGTCGAGAACATATAACTTTAATTCAAAGAAGAGAAGCTACTTACTGCATATTTACCCTATACAAATAGAATCAATGATAATGTTAACTGTGCTGATTTTATTATTATTATTTCTTTTTTAATTTATTTTTATTATTTTTAATGAGTTATCATCATCATTATAAACTACAAGTTTCTCGTCATATAAAATTATGACGAAAACTTTCAAAGTACATTGTCAAGTTAGTTAGATGGGGGGGGGGGAGACAAACTTTCAAAAGACAACTTATTTAAAACAGAATTGGAAAAAAGAAGAGAGATTTCTTTCTTATAAGACTTGAATGTGCATAGAGTCCTGTTAATTGTTATTAAGGATATTAAAAGCAATATATTCACATTTCTAGCCATGTGCTTGATCTGGTGTGTACCCTTCCACCAAGTTATCACAACCTCTGGTCTTGAACCGGAACTTATGCATTCAATTTCGTATGTCCTCAAAGCAGAGAGATGGAAAGCTTTGTTCGTAATATTCACCATCAATGGCTTCACTAATTTATGAAAACAGTAACAACGACAATGAAGACGGAACTATTATTTATTATGATATTTGTGAAATTTTTTTTTTTTTTTTTTTTTTTTTTTTAAATTATAATAACGAAATTTTTCCTAATTAGTGATTATTTTTATGATAATTCAAAAAAGTAGAGCACGATAATAATAATCGACAATATTCATTGATATTATTTGTTTACATTAATTTATTTCGATATCTTTAATTGTACGAAATAGCAATTGTTTTTATTCTATTGAGATATTACATTAGAAAGTAAATAATTCAATTTTAAATTTCAATTATCTCTTACGCACTTTTACGTATTTAAATAACGCTTATGTGCCTACATTATCAAAATTAATTTTTCTTTTTACAATTAGTTATTTAAAAAATATTATTTACTCAATCTCCAATAATAAAAATTTTCGAATGCAAATTGTAATTATTTAATTATTATAAATAATTACTTATAAAGCTTTGGATTTTATAAATTATGATTAAATTTTTGGATTTTACAAGGAATAATTAATTACTTTGAAGCATTAAAATATTCTGGAAAAAAATGAAAAAAAATATATATATATATGTGTATCTGTATTGTATTTATTCGATTGAATAATTTGTACGTTAGTGTAATCCGATATTATCTATTTATTACTACTAAAATTATCTATTTAGTAAGCTAATGAATTGGTCAAATTGGCTTACTTAATTAAATCACTTTAGAAAATTCAAACTTTACTCTAGTTTGTTCGTACACGGTAAACATCATCGTTTATTCTAAGGGTCATTCTCATTTGTCTAAAAAGAGAACATAAGAAAATATCACAAATATCACTCTTTCTATAGTATAGTTATTGAGAAAAAATGTGAAAGCATTACATAATTAGCGCTCATCGGACATTAAACCTCTGTATAATTCGACATGAAATCGAACGTTTGTAAATACTAAACGTTTCCCTTAAAATCACACGTTTACTAACTGTACCGCATCTTAACAAAATAATTAGAATAAAATTATTTTACATTATTATTACGATTAATGAGAAGAATCATCCCATCCAACAGAAAATATGGCAATAATCAAAATACTCTGTATTGTGTTCACAATACGGTTTTACGATGCGTACACATAACAGCTAGTGGATAAAAATTGGATAAAAATTTATTTGAAACTACTCGCCGTTTAAAAAAAAAAAATCATGAACTTTTCTACTAAAGGAAATAGCGTACGGGAGTATTAAATACAAAAGCTAGTGCTTACGATTGACGTCGATAATGATCTCGGCAGTTGCTGGTTCGATCAAGTGTGTATTGCTGGCCATGCAGACGAGTTGAGCACTCAATAAATCCCTGGTGACGCAATCCATGTCAAGACGATTCACAGTGAGCTCCTCGTATTCATGGACGAAGGTCTCGTCGAGGAGTTTGCCGTTCCAATGCCAAGTGACGCGTGGCGGAGGTGAACCACCCGTAACCTCGCACACGAGCATCAGGCTGCTGTCCTCGTTCAACGGCTGCAGATTTTTCGCCAACGTATGGTCGTTAGTGTAGATCTCCGGTGATTGGGGCGGCACTGCTCGAACATACACGATATTTTTCATAATGTGACTTACATACTACTTACGGCTCATTTACCTTGCGCCAACTTTTTGATTAGGCAACGAATTGCAATGGAAATACATAAACTAATGAGGGATGATTGAATTTAATGGGCAAATGCTGATAAATTTCTGCTTTCAAAATAACTTCAAATAAGCACACTTTGATAGACAGCGTTTGATGCAAATTTTATAATATTATAAAAATTTATTACTTTTAATAAATTTATATTTTTATTTCTGCATCGTCGCTTATATTGAAATTGACGCGAGGGGAGGCTCGTTTGTATATCATTTCTGATATAAAATTGTTAGTTTAATGTCGCCGAGACTGCGACTTTAGACTTCGAATAAGCTACTTTAAATGACGTTTGTAAATAATTTAGCTTCTCGTATTTGCTTCATTTACTTAATAATATATAACGGAAGTATAGGGATATACAAAAGATTTCATTATGTGCAGTCTTTTGTCCCACATTAATGTACAATTAGGTATATACTGTGTAAATTCCGGTACATAGTGAACGTCATTTTATAATAAAAACTTTTTGAAAGATCAACTAAATATATTGAATGAGAAAATGTATTGTTCTTTTATAACGGAGGATTTAAAGATTACAATTTTTCATCCTTTGCGTAGTTTTAAGCGGTGAAAGTGGCGGTGGTTGGTCGAAGGAGTGAAAATAATATAAAAATCTACTTTTCATTATCAATAGTTGCTCATTAAGTATAATTTATGAATTATTTATTTTAAATATTAGCCTACGTTAATTGTAAATACGGATATAAAAATGCAATCAAATAATATTAAGTGGAATTCAAAATGCTTATATAAGAGAATTTACTAAGATATTTAAAATAGCCTAGCCAAAATTAAAAAAAAATATTATCTGCGCTTTTCAATTTTATGATAAAACTGGAAATAAGACAATTTGCAATATAGTGGAAACTAATTAAAAGTATCAAAATTAAATGTACTATTGTATGAAAATACCGTCCTAGTACTCATTTGTAAAAATTATAAAAAATATTAAAATTACAAAATTTATAATATTTTAATATCATTAGGTAGTAATGTAAGTATAAAAGTAAAATTTAATAAGTTAATACTACTTTAAATATAATTAGGTAAGCACTCTGAATTGAAGAAAAATTATGCTTTCAAAAAAAAGGAAAAATAGGAGGAATTGCTAGTCAAATCTTTTCGAAATAGACCACAATATATTTCACATTGCACGCGCGCGCGCGCGGACACACACACACAGACACACGCGCGCACGCACTCACACAAAATTATTAGATTAAATATTGTATTTAATAAAAATTGACAAACACTATTTTAACATAAATCGATCGGTTCAATATTTTCAATATTTTGAACTTTCAATTATTAGTAAAAGTCATTGGTGCTCGTCCAACTAACGGCGACTAATTATCTTTTATTTATATTTATTATTTTGTAAGCTTGCAAGTAAATGAAGCAATAATGATAATTATCATCACGTTAATGTGTCAAAATAACGAGGTCAATCATACCGAAGTTCTTTCGCACCTGTTGAGCAAGAATCGAGAGTCATTAATTAACATAGAATGCACGTACCAACTGATTACAGGTGATTATAGAGAATATGTACATTGCACATGCTATGTATATATAAACCCATATTTAATAGGTAATGCGAATATTTTTGCAATGTTTTAAAAATCTAATATTTTGCATGTCTGTTGGGTAAAATATTATATTTATACGCATATAACATTTTACATCAGAGACATGCAAAATATTGTTAAAATTATATTTCTATACATTTTAATGACGATATAATAATATTATCTTTAAATCAATATTGGTTAGTTTTAATTAATAAAGAAATTATCTTTATTGACTTACGTGAATTTAATTTATTTAATCCTATACAATATTATAATTAACAATATTGTTTTATGTAGAAAAGATAAAATTGATATTAAATTATCATTATCAAATTATAAAAAATCCGTACAACTTTTATAAGGAATACAAACGAGTCCCTTAACAAATGCAATTGTCAATATTTCTATATTCACAATATAACAACTTTAATAATATTACTGATCACGCAAATCCTAATCGCTAATCCATTAACTTTAAAACATAATAGTAGGTAATGTGTTAAGTTTTTACTCGTAGCTTCTTTCCCATCGTCATCTCATATACACATATCTTTTATAAACATTATATTAACTTCCAGGATGTTACAAGTCAACGCGAAAATAAGAAAAAGCGAACGTAAGCTAATGCGCAGGAGCAGCAAATTGATTGTCACCAAAAAAAAAAAAAAAAAAAAAAAAAAAAAAAAAAAAAAAAAGCTTGCCTATTTTTCCCCTTTTTTAAAGCGCCTCGACCATATGCCTGAATGCAGTTTTCCATGAATTATTGTCACTAGTATTGACACCATTTTTTCCTAATATTAATGCAATACATTGATATTGTCCGATAATGCCATTCTCCTTTCTATGTATACGATGACGGAGCGGTACATTGAGACTCTCTATAATCAAGTAAAGACCCCTAGACAACAGCAACCACTAATTTAATTATAAATGATTATACTTATTATATATTAACCAAAACATTTTTTTATTCGGTTATTTCTAATTTTAGTCATCTTACTCTTACAGTTCTTTTCATTCTATACACACACACTCTCTCTCTCTCTCTCTCTCTCTCTCACTCTCTCTCTCTCTCTCTCTGAAATAACTCTAAGTTTATCTGGAAGTGAACGTTTTCCGAATAACAAAGCTTTGATGAAATTCGGTATTTTCCAAGATTACGATAAATCGATGGAAATCTGCGATTATTTATATTATGTAAAATATTATGATATTTCTTTACAAAACAATATTAAAATTTACAAGAAAATTTAAGATATATTGGAAAAATAAAAATAAAACACAAGACTTTATTTTATATTTTTATATTGCAAATTTAATTTATCGATTATTTTTTACAAAATTCGAAAATTCAAAGAGTGACGTAGAGATAGCAGTGATCGCGATTCATTTCTTATTCACGAGGTTTGTTAGTCTATCGGTTGACGGAATTTCGAAAGATTCTTTTACAATACATAGAATAATAACTAAGCTGATCCCTTGAAATTAAAGTTGAAAAATTGTTTATTTCGAGATTTTTTATTTATACGTACTACATTTTAGATAATACGATGTAATAGAAAGATAAAAATACATTTTATCCGAAAGTAATGATTTTTTCGGCTCCCAACAGGATGGAATTTTAATATTTCAAAAGATTCGCAATTCGATTATTCACGCTTTGATAATTATTTTTCAGCCAAACTGGCTATTCGGATAAATTTACTTACATAACACTTTGCACATCTATATTACACGCAATGAACATAGGCAAATCCATGGTTAGTCACGACCTGTACAGCCACTATAATCGGCCGGTAATGCAGGTGTTGCGTTTATCGTTACAGGCTGACGTTCTCGTCGTTACTCCGGGATTGTTTTAAATGATAGAGGGTATCTCGACACATTGAGTGACGTTGCCAAGGTTCCTTGCAACGAGCGAACACCGCACTAACACAATCTAGTTACACAGAAAAACGCCTACTTGAACTTTATAAAATCTTAAGGGGAGACCGCTCAAGTAGTGAGTCCAAGCCGAGATTCAAGTCGCTCGCCGATAAAGCTGCTTTAATAGCCACTTTTATAGGTGAAGTCGCTCGTGTGAATTTAATTTACAGGTAGATTTTCGCTTGGTACTTTTCTGCATCGTTAAGGCCCAAAAAAAAAAAAAAAAAAAAAAAAATACTCCGGATTACCGGTCATACCAACATCGCCTTTAGTTACCGGTTTCACGTACACGTACTTATTTCAGATGTAAGCAGACATGGCATCGCATGCTTAAAGCCAATAATATTTAAATAATGTTAATGCAGCTTAATCGCAGTGGACCGAATAATTCAATTTCAATAATGTCATAAAGGAGAATTGTTCAAAATTTGGAACATCTTATACGTTGCCTAATTCGTGTTAATAGACTTGGTTTTCAGATGAGGCAATTAAGGTTCTTTCATTCATGTTTTGAAATTATTGTCAAACAGTTGAATAATTCACTGATAAGATCAATTACATATACAACGGTGGAAAAAATAACGATGGGAGTATGGGTGGACTAGTGAATGAAATATGACTTTTTGTTAAACTACTAGACATATTTTTTTTTTTTTTTATTTATTATTATTATTATGATATTTGAATTTCAAACGGAATATGAATTAAAATGCCAGGTTGTAATTTGAACAGACGTTCTCACACAAGTATTGTAAAATATTGTAAATAAATAATTGTAACAATATCTCGCAAACTATTGTTGGAAAGATTGCTTACTGTACAACAAACATCGGATTGCTAAAGTTACAGTGAGTCACGAATTTAAATGAATTATTAACTGATTTAATGAAATGTATATTCAAAATTTAAATCTCATAATCTAATTAAATTGCATAAAGCTACCAATATTCTATTATGTATAGAAACTTCATAATCACCTGGGGATATCTGATTAAAGTTTTGATTCTTAACAATTCTACGCAAATGACTTCGATGTAGGAAATGCACGCGCAACTATACGATGCCGTTACCAATTTTTTTCTTTATTCAAGATGTTCTTTGCCGTAATTAGCTTAAATTATAACATCTTTAGTTGTTAGGTAAATGCTTTATCCTATTCTTAGGTAATACATAAACGAATGAAAAGGAAAGGCAAGTTCAAAGAACAGTATTCGGTAAGATAATAATAATAAGCTAATGTAAAAAAAAAAAGTAAGCGATTATACAATTTATTTAAAAAGTAGAAACATTTTGTCATTAGCTAATATTTCATTAACTAATGGAGCAATATTTAATTTCATTCCCTTCCCAATGCACTAACAAAGTTGTATGATTTAATCATAATCATTTGATAAAAAGTAACTGCCAACATTCTGACATATTCTAATAAAGTATATTACAATATTTAAGCAGATATATTGCGTAATGAATATTTAATAATAATTGTTTCGATGATATTTTTCACGTCAAAAAATTAATATAAATGCCTCGATTTACCGAAAAATCATTACATAAATAATAAATCAAAAATAGTTTTACTAAAAACAGACGGAGATAATGTCATTAATAATTGACATTTTTCACGCATTTTCTTTTTAAGATAAGTATTTTTTGTTCACATTTAGCTTGAATATCGTCCGCATATTATAAAGTCATATTTTTCCACTAGAGCATAATTCATCCAAGGAGAGCTTAGAATACGCTTATAAATCATAGCTTAACATTGCAGGGCCCGCCCGCGCGCACCCCCACACACAAACACAAACAAGCGCCAAAAAACACATACATTTTACAAATATACAAATATACAAAGTTCTCTTCGATTCCGTAAGGTAAAACTGCCTGTAGTATAACTTAATTATTGCTCGCACTACGATCAAATGATTTATAGATTTAAAAAGATTCTTCTTACGATCACCAAAGCTCGCTGAGTCGCGTAAATATTAAAATAAAAGTAAAAGGTAAAGAATTTGTTTGTTTTTTTTTTTTTTACCAATGACGGTCAGATTGATCTTTTGATTCCTTGTCGGATTATTCGGAAAGTCGATTCTGCAGTGATAAAGGCCCGCGTCTGCGGGTGTGAGGCCCTCGATCTCGAGGTCCGCGTGCTGCCCCGTCAACCTCATCCTCGCCCGGTCGGCCAAGGCGTTCGGGTCGGACCACTGCCTACCTTGCCCAAGGGGTTTGCTACGCCCATCTACGCTATAGATTGGCGAGCCTTCGATCTCCGACTTGTACCAGAGTAGCATAATGGCCTCCTCGTCCTTAGCACTAGGTGTGAGGTCGCAGGGAAGCTTCGCTTGGTAGCCAGCGACATATGACACTTCTACCGGTTGTACTGCGGACACATAATTCACGTACTGTACTAAGACCTTTTGCCCATGCGCGGCTAAATACTAACAAATATAATGATTGCTTTCATGAAATGTCCATACTCTCTCGTTGTTGGGAGAAATAAATTTTTGCGCCAATTGTAGCGAACTCGAACAAGTGACAAGTCTCATCAGCCTTCTTACTTTTTCATTTAATCTTTTATAAGCATATTTAAATTAAAATTTCGTCACAATTATCGTAGTCACTTATATATACTGTGCTCGTACTAAATTTTCAATAATAAGCAATGGACATAAATAACATTAAAACGTACTTTATTATTAATATTCTCATAATATTTTATACCGTTATTATTATGTTGTACTTACTCTTATCGTCCGTTTTATTTTATTACTTTACGAATATGAATGGATATTCAAAATTATGAACATATTATTACTTTCTTGTGTTGTGGTACTCTCAGCTACTACGATCACGCAATTATAAGTTACGTTAACAGCATAAAACAAACCAAAAAAACAAAAAAAAAAACAAAAAAAAATTAAAAATTCCCATTAAAATTATTGAAATATGTTTTTGAGTGCTTAAAATTAAATAAGCGTGTTGTGCGTAACATATCTATATTAAATTTGAATATTAGAAAATTCTTTATTGATAAAAAAAAAAATAAAAAATAAAAAAAAAGGAATATATTTTCATTGATAAAACGTTCAAAATTTTTATTTTAAATTGGTTTTAAATTACACCTGACTGTAAAACATTTTATTAAAGCTACGTAACAAAGTAAAATAATGCCTACTTATAAATTTTCCAGAAAATTTCATAAAGAAAATACATTTGTGCTAAAATGAAATTCCAATATAAAAAAAAAATATATATATATATATATATATATATACATATAATATTATTAAGCTAAATTTACAAAAGCTTATAATATATTATAAATAAATAAATATTTTATAGCTTAATTTATGCAACGAAAAATAAATAAAAGTAGATGTAGTAGATGTAGAAACTATCAAAGTTTAATAATTCAATAGTAAATATATAACAAAATCTGAAGAAAGTCAAACTACAATAATAAAATTTACATAGCCATTAAAAATTGAATTAAATTGAAAATCTTTCGGAGATATACATAAATCTCATTCTTTCTTGAAGATAAATATTTTTCTTAAAAATAATAATAATTCCCGCTATATAAGAAGATAAAATGTTAAAAGACAAATAGAAATCTTAAGAGGTGTTTACGTGAATTCTAATAAGACTTTTTAAATAAAATGTTCATCTGAAAAAATTCCCCCTCAATTTTTAATTCAATTGTTAAAAATACAATAAACCATTTAACATAATTTATTTTAAAATTTAAAAAGATCTGTATCTGCGAATTAATATTGAAGCTAATGTAACCTTCTAAAAGAATAAATACACAATTAGAATATTGAATGGTTAAACATTTAGTATCTGAATAAATAGAGAATATTTCAATAGAATTTATAAAGTAATGCCGTAAGGTAGATATTTCAAACGTACATTTATTTGATCTCCTATTATTATATTGAATTCAATATTCCCTCATTTAATAGCTACACATGAATTTATATTACAAACCATATAAGTGGATAACGTTCTTACACAAACTAATACAATAAATCTCAAAAGTAATATTTTATTTAATAATCTTGTAATAACTCGTACAAAGTTTACTTCAAAGTTTATATATCTGCATTAAGTATATATTTCTGTGGATCATCATTGAAATCTTATAAAATATAATGCTTATTATTCATTAAAATTTTATATCCTTATAAATTTCAAATAAATAATATTTTTAAAAAATTTATATCTTGGCAAATATTTCAAAAGTCTTGAATAAGCTTTAAGATATTATATCTGAACAATGGAAAAAATGTAATATAACGTAATAAAATATAGGTCATTCAAGGCAGTGAATTCATTTTCTATAGGATAAATCATTCTTTTATTCATTAGGTCGAAATCCTACGAAAGATTAGTCTAAATACTTATATTAATAATAGTTGTGAATAAATTTACAATAATGTATTTTCTGACAATATCAAATAAGCACTTTTCTTCGCTTGTAGTAGATAGTAAAACAAAAGTATTTCTGATCGTTACATTATTGCATAAACTATGCATATTTTTATTCGTTTAACTTTTTCAATATATAAATTATTTACATTATATTTAAGCATTTTAATCTATATCAAAATAAACAAAATACAAAAGATAAAAAAGATAATCATACTATCTTGTCTTTTAATATTTTATTATCACTTTTTTAATATTATAAACATAATATGATGGATACAGATCATTTAAGTAATAACAAAGAAAAAAAAAACAATGTAAAATGAGAACGATAGTCTAGTTCCCAACAAATTAAAAAACTCATACACAAGGATGGTCAACATAACACGGCTAAGTGTGCTTGATGTTTGATGCTATGTGCTTGATGTTTGTAAATAAATTTTTGTAACAGAAAATCAAAATATTTTCTCCATAGTGCAGAAAATACTCAATATGAATAAGATAAGATTTATTTATGATAGAGAGAAATACCGAAGCTTTCAAAATCAGAATAGATTCATCAGTCGAGCACCGTACGTTTCCGTGTCAGGATTATGCAAGAGTCTCTATACAACGATTACTCTACTGCAAATAAAGGCAAGAAAATTACCAAAACAAGGAAGAGAAAAAGTAGATACGCAATCTTAGATTTTATTCATAAAATTGCACAGGAAGAACACACAACTATCGACGCATTGTATAAATATAAGAATAGGAATGTTTTCACGGATTTGAAGAGCCAACCAAGTGTAAAACAAATAATACATATTAAGAAAGACCAGCTGATCTTTAGTTAAAAATCATTTTTAGTTTTCGATAAAAATTCGATTTAATCGGACAAAAAATCATCGAGTTACCTGCATAAATGAATATGTTTGTGAAATATTCTTAAAATATTTGTATAAATTATAAAAAGAAATCGATCCTACAATATCATTATTATTTAATAGTGTAATATTTCAAACATAAATAAATTGAAACATTAAAAATTGAGAAATTGTGTCTATTCTATTTTATTCTTTTTTGTCAAATACAATGTCAAGGTAAATTTATAATAATGTACATATTTCAATACTTTGAATTATTCGAAACTATTAATTCAACGTATATGTTTATATTTATGTACCACATAATAATTAAAATAATAAAGCTTTAATAAATAAATATAAAATATTTCCATAAATGTAATTAATATAATTTATCACGATAATTAAGTAATATATATATTTTTATAGTTTTTATAATTTCAGTATTGGCAAGTATTTTATGGAAATGTATCAAATTTATTATAATGAATCACTGAAATCACTTCTCTATGTATATATATATATATATATATATATATATATATATATATATATATATATATATATATATATGTAAACAAAACAAAAAAAAATCTCAAATTTCAACTTTAAGCAACTCTCCTATTTAATAAAAATTAATGTCGTTCATAATTATAAATGTTTCGCAGCGATAAAGTTATTCTTATTAACTCGAATTGTACAAGATAATTAACACTATTATCACCCATAAAATCATGAGCATAGTATATTAAAACGTAAAACCTAATGTTTTGATATATCTTCTAAAAATTTAATAATTAATAATATCGTGATATAAAACTGAGAATATAAAATGGTAATATAAATACTTAAATTCATGGACATAACGTAAATTATTAAGTAATTTCCTGTTGGCATAAAATGGAATCTATACGTAATCATAAATTCGAATGTTTTACTTCCAATAAAATGTGCTTCCAATATTTCTAAGCACGTGGTTCAAGTAAAACCAATTTTCGTCGAATAATTTTCCAATGAAGCAATTTATGAGCTGAAATCCTTCCAGACAATTTGTTCTGGTCGAAAAAAGCACATAAAATAAAAGAATGAAAATAAGAATGAAGAGAGAGAGAGAGAGAGAGAGAGAGCCAATAAGAGAAAATGAAAGCATGATAGCTAACAATAATAAAGATAATCATGGTGACGAATTTCACATGTACATATAACCGAATACGTGCCCGAATAGATATATTTAAAACTTTGGAAATAATGAATTCTCGGAGCAGCTGCTACAAAACAAGTTGTATCTATACATACTTTAACAAGTATTTATGCATTATATATTTTCTGAGAGAAACGTCATCCGCAAGCAGACCTAAAATTGTTTCAGAAATAATCCAGTTACATAAATAATCTAGTAAATAATCGAATCGTAGATAAAAAGTATATAAAGTAATTTGTCATGTAACTGTGTCATTCTATTTGCAAATGCTCTTAATGTTTAGCCGACAATGAATAACAACATTCATTCCACAAATACACGACACTTACTTCAAATATAATAAATAAGTGCACATAAATCCATACTTAGAAGCATAATAATTTATCTTGGCAGGTTCCATTTTACGAAAAGTTTCTCGATCATCAGTGAAAATATTGGTTCTATAACTCTGTTGATATATATATATATATATATATATATATATATATATATATATATATATTTATCTATAAGACTTGGAATATTACTGATAAATATATATAATACAATGGATAAAGTATTTTTCTTCCATACGTATAATAAGACTTTTATGAAAATTCAGAGTAGACTCATAAACACATTGAAAATGCATTCTGTAACTTCCAAACTATATTTTATGAGGCGATCATCGTAAGCTTTAATGGATGTATATTCGCGTACGAACGCAGATTCCAAGAAATCGCGCGTATCCTCCCCCACCATTTGTTTATAGTTAACGTCGATCGGTCGTCGAGTCGAAATGCCGAGTTCCATCGCGGTCGGTGCTAACAAGTCAACACCACTTAGTGAACTTTTGCACACGAGTGCTCTTTAATCGATCATTTGAAAATAACTTTGCTAACTTTTTTTTCTGATTCTTTACTT